GGGGGTTGCCTATAGATTATGGAAGGGGCTCTTGAAAGGAGGTTTTTGGTTTGGCTGGAGGACTCTAGGATTTTGAAACCTGTTTTAAGGAGGTTGTTTAGTTGTTGCAGGCCAGGGTGGTAAGTGGTTATCAAATTTACTTGAAGATGGTTGGTATTTTTCTTTGTAGTTGGACGTGGGTTCTGAGCCGCTTGGATCTGAGATTTTACGAGAGTGCTAGGATAGCCTCGGTTTTCGAAGGCTTTTTGAAGTTGGGTTTGGTATTGTGTACGGTCTTTCGGTTCTGAAATTAGGCGATTTCCCCTTAGGGCAAGACTGTAAGGAAGTGATCTCTTGGTGTTATTCGGATGACAACTAGAAAAATGGAGGTATTGTTGGTGGTTGGTCGGTTTTATGTGGATAGATGTGGTGAGGCTATTGTTCCTTAGATGAATTGTAAGGTCTAAAAAGTTGATGGAAGTCTCAGAGAAATCCCAGGTGAAATTTAGCGGTCCAAAACTGTTGAGGTCTTCCAGGAACTTCCGTAGTGATTCTTCACCGTGGGTCCAAATTATGAAAATATCGTCAATGTATCTAAACCAGCAGATGGGGAGGTGTTCACGGCTAGACAAAAACTTTTCTTCATAATTCCCCATGTAGAGATTAGCATAAGATGGGGCCATTCTTGTACCCATGGCAGTGCCCTTGATCTGTAGGAAGTGTTTGTCCTGAAATTGGAAATAGTTCTTTTCCAGAATGAATTTTATCAGTTGAGTTATAAACGAAGTGGTGGGTAGGGATCCTTTGGGTCTGTTTTGAAGGTAGTTTTCTGTTGCTGTTAGGCCGTGGACATGAGGTATGTTTGTGTAGAGTGAGGTGACATCAATAGTGGCCATGAGAGTGTTAGCGGGGAGTGGTTGTCTGACATTGTTAAGTTTTTGCAAAAAATCATTGGAGTCCTTGATATATGAGGCCAAGTTTTGTACTAGCGGTTGTAGATAGGCGTCTACGTATGAAGAGATACGTTCCGTTAAAGAACCGCAGCCTGATACTATGGGCCTTCCTGGCGGTGGTGTTATGCCTTTGTGGATTTTTGGTAATATGTAGATTTTAGGGCAGATGGGTTCTTCTGGTATTAACAGATTTGTTGTTTCTGGGGAGATATTGTTGGATTTGGAGTGTTTGTAAATTATTTCCTTGAGTTCAGCGGTGTACTTTATAGTTGGATCTTCTTTCAGAGGGAGGTAGGTGGAAGAATCACTGAGCTGGCGTTGGATTTCTGACACATAATCAGATTTATTCATTATCACTGTGGTCGAGCCTTTGTCAGCTGGAAGGATCATGATATCAGTGTTTGATTTTAAAGTTGAAATGGCTTTTTTCTCGGCTTCGGTGAGGTTATGGAGTGTTGTAGAGGTTACGTTGTTTTCGAAAGTGGGATCTGAGATGTTTTGTACCAAGAAGTTGATGTATTGTTCTATCGGATGGTCTGCTGGTAACGGAGGGGGATCGAAGTCCGAGGGTGGAGCAAACTTCGCTAGGGAGGGCGCCACACTGTTGGATTTCGAGTTGTCTTGATCTTGTGAGTTGAAATAATGTTTGAGACGTAGGTTCCTAGCTAGCGACATGATGTCTTTAACTAGGCCAAAATGGTCAAAACGGGGTGTGGGACAAAAACTGAGACCCTTGGTCAAAACTGTTTTTTCTATTTCTGAGAGCTGGTGGTTGGATAAGTTGCAAACTTGTTGTTCATTTGTAGAGGTTTCAGGGTTGTTTGGGACAGAATTGCTCTTGAATGGGGGAGTAGGAATCTTCGGTGGTTTAGGTAGAAAGGGTTTTTGGCCTACTGGTATAGGTAGTCCTAAGAGGGAGGCCAGACAAGGCCTATCTGAGATTAGAGGAACCTGATGTGGTTGGGTTTGTTGGACTAGGCCTATAGATCCATATTGATGTATATGTTTGATACAAAGGTTAGAGAGTTTTCTGAGTTTTCTTTCAGCTTCTTTGTTCATATTAATTAAGGCTTTCTGTGCTATTGAATTGAGATTATCTGCTAGTTGTGGTTTGTCATTCAAAATCAGCTTTGTGAGGTCAGAAAGAGCCTTTCTGTGGTTATACATTTGTTCAGAGTACAGTTGTAGGACAGATTTAGTCAAATCTATTGATTGTTTGTAGGCTAGGGCTAATATAGCAGGCCACATATTAGGGGGCATGCCACTGATGGCTGGTTTTACAGTTAGGCCCACTGGAGTTAGGCCTAGAGTAAGGCAAGAACTCAGGAAATGTACATGACATATAATTTTTGATAATTTGAAAGCATGTTGTTTGGCTTGTTTTAGCCAAAAGGAAGATAGGTTCATAGTGGATAGGATAGTTGGACAGTAACACTAAGGAAAGAAAGGAGTAAAGGAAAGAGTGAAAAGATTTGTCACTTTAAGGTTATGTTTTTAGGAAAAAGCATTTAGCTTGGATTAAATAAATAAATATAGGATGGAGAGGACACAGCTAACTCACCTGATGAAAGGTTGCAGATGAGTCAAAGAACACATAAAATCACTCACATAATTTACTTAATATTTCGCCTCTTTCAGAGGCTTCTTCAGAAGTAGGCCTAGATGGTAGTTACAAAACAACAGTTTAAATAGGATGACACAGTTTGAATTCAAAATGTCTGACAGGTTGTCCAACTGACACTGCACAAAGCACTAAATACAGGCACATTGCAATATTGTATTTACATATAATATGTACATTGAAAAGCAAATTAGTTTTGTCCATGAAAATAAATACTTAAGAGTTAGCTGTGAGGGTGAGGATATGAGGATATTATCTAATGTTGAGGTTAGGTGGGGTTCTGGAGTTGGTCACAAACTGGTAAGCTAATTCCCATCTTCTGAGCATTGAACTATTGCATTGGTTCTTTGGCAATGATTTTAGAGCTTTTATGGTGAAACTGTCATCAAATAGAAGTTGGTGGGATAAGGCATGTTGTGCAACTGGTTTTTCTTTGCTAGTTTTAACATCATGTCGATGGCCGTTCATGCGTTTTCGGAGAGTCTCGGTTGTTAGGCCTATGTACTGGGCTGGACAATGTGAACATTGAAGCTGGTAGATAAGGTTCTCTGAGCTGCAGGTATGATGGCCTTGGATTCTGTAATTTTTATTATGGTATGTGCTGGTAAAAGTTTCTGTAGGATGGTGTATCTGGCAAGATTTACATCGGTTTTCATTGCATGGGTATGAGCCCGGTCTTGGTTTCTCAGATGGTATTTTTGATGGATTTGGGAGTTTTGGGTGGACTAGCATATTCCTCAAATTTGGGGGTTGCCTATAGATTATGGAAGGGGCTCTTGAAAGGAGGTTTTTGGTTTGGCTGTGTCAACATTAAGTATTTGTTGTGTTACACGCCCCCTTTCACCAATTCCTGTAGTAAAAGTCCTCGGGCTTTGCCCCTCAGGCCATCAAAATCCCAATGTATATCTTATGAAGACAAGATTTTGTTTAGTTAAACAGACAAATAATTTGTTCATAGTACACGCATGATACACACAAGAGTTTTCGTTTTCAGTTTCGATAGATGGAGTGGAGTGAGCGTTTGTTTTCAGAGTGAGTTCGTTTCCAGTTTCTATAACTGGAGTGGAGTGATTGGTTACATTATCTTTGAGTTGACTCTCACACGTCAACGGAAATTGTGACAATTATTCGTAAAAACTCCTTTAATATTTTGCAATTGCTCAAATTCGAGCAACAGGTGCAGTAATTTATTATATTTAAAATTAGCCCCTTCATTTTATATGAACTTTTAAGTGGATGATTCATTTAAAAGCTACAACTGAACAGAAAATAATAAATATTTAGGAGTGCCGTACGGCGCGCGCCGCACGAAATCGTACTAGTGTGAAGACACACGCTTGTCCGGTGCAGCGCCGCGCGGCGGACGCCGTACGGCGCGCGCAGCTTCGTGTGAAAGAGGCGTTAGCCATCGTCCCTCCCGTTTGTCCCACCGCTACAAAGCGGTCATACTTCCACAAATAACATATGCAAGTGAAACTATATTTAAAACAACCAACACTGTAGCAATAGATAAAATACTGAAAATAGAAAGAAGAATCATCAGAACATGTATAAACAAAGAATATCAAAAAGATTGAGTTAGGAGACTGGCCTCAAATAAAACTGTGAGGAAATAGAGCCATTGACAAGTATAATTAAAAAGAAAAGAATTTCATTCTCTTGGACATCTTTTAAGGACACCGGAAAATAGAATAAGCAAGAAAATAATTTACAAGTTGTGGAATAGCAAGAGTGACTTTAGGTGGATTACAGAGATTAAGGACGACGTGAGAAGGTTGAAAATATCATTAGAAGATTTGGAAAAACATGTCAGTCAGAGGCGCTTGCAGTACTCAAAGACAAAAATATCATCCTGCCAATAGGAGCAAACAATCAGAGACAAGGAAGAGTGGTTTCGGAAGAAGAAAGAAACAACGGTCGGAAAGAATGAAGAAGTATTGGGCGGACAAGAAGAGACAAAATTTAAAAAGAATCTGACCATTATATTGACTTAAGTGGTCTAATGATGGCCATAAAATAATAATAATAATACAAATAATTTTCCTCTAATCAATGAATGCATCAAAATAATTTTTGAGTTAAATGAACACTATTACGAGTAGCACTCCCAGCAATATAAAAGTAGTAAGCAAAAAGAACAAAATATATTTTGGTTTGTTTTAGAAACAAATTAAAATAATTTTGCATTGAGGTGAAAAAGTGATAGGCCTATTTAATAGTTTTTTTAGGCTACCGTTACTTAAAAATACCCTATTACCTCAAAAATACTTGATGGAAAGACATAGACAGGGGTTGGAGTAGTATTAATCAATTTATTCAGACAGTTTAAGTTTGGTAAAACTATTGAAAAAATTGTATCAATTTTAAGAATCGATCAATTTTGAAACCGACACATCACTAAAATTAACCAATTAAAATGATTGGCAAACTCATTCCTAGTAACTTACTGTTGTGTTTGAAGACCTTGATGGTAGCCCCAGACAGTCGCAGCCCTAGGATGAGGCTGGCGTGGTTCTTCTCATCACTCAACACGAGGCAGCCGGGACTCAGCAATGCAGGAATGTTGAGAGAGTTTGTAGCAAACCCCATACCGAACACTATAGCATCCTCTACCCCCAGAAACCTGGCTGTTAGTCGCTCCAGCTCCACGTGCTGCTCGTTGGTGCCTGTGCAAACATCACAAATTTAATAGGATCATCCTTAATGTGATTGTTAGAATAAAAGGTTGGCAGCTAGTTTACATAGAATATGCCCAGGAAGTTCACAGTAAACACCAAAGACAAAACATTTTGTCTCTAGGGGAACTTAGAACTCACTAGTTTTAATTCTTACAGAGTACTTTACATTAGCATTTAGACCTAGCGCTACTTGCAAACAGTTGACTAGCTATTAGCCTAGTCATATTCTTTGACACTTTGAATTGACTTACTTCAATCCTGACGTTTACTAAGTACCTACATTGTAGGAATAAAACGAAAATGTACTATATTATGTTTCAGTTTATTTTTAGCCTTTTTCCTTGTTGTATAGCATTTCTCAAACTGTTTTAAAAACTAATGTAGTCTTTAACATTACTTAGTGTTATAAAATTAAATTGTTAGAAGTCTAAAATAACAATATTTTTATAGACGTAGAAATAACAACCTAATTCTTGACGAGAGCTGCATAGGGCGAGTCCATACTTTTCTATTGCCAGCTTAGTTGATTCAGCGCAAGCACCGGTGGCCTCGGCAAATCCTAAGTAGTTGTACGATGCTAGATTGATACACTTGGACTCCGTGCCTGTAAATCTAAAAACACAAACAGGATATTTTATTTAGGATCAGAAGCAGACGTCACATTTTTTATAATTGTGCTTGATAATTGTTGCTTGTGAGAATATTTAATTGGATACCTAATTAAGTCCACACCGAAAATTATAATAGTGATTACTGTTAGCTACAAGCCAAGCTGTATGACTGTGGTTGTTCATTTTTACTAACCCATTGGCGCCGACTTACGAGCGTTACTCGTACGGCCGCTGCAGGCCCGGCGGCTGACTTACGAGTGCCGCTCGTGTCACCGCCATTAGTTATTTAGTTATTATTATTTTTCGCCCTTTTTGTTTCTTCTTACTATTATAATGTTTATAAATATCTTGCTTCTTGATTTGCGTTTTTACTCATTTATTTTAGCGAATAACAAACAATTTTGTGTTGCCATGGAAACCACATATCACAAAAAATCAGCTGCGGTAAGGTAAACAATTTAAAAAAAATGTTATTACTTATAAAAGTAAAAGTACACAACTTTTGATTTTTCTACGTAGGGAATCGATTGAACTTTATCCAATTACCATTTTTCTGTAGACAATTTTACTGTGAACAAAATGGTGAAAGAATAATTAATTTATTACCTAAGGTTTTCTTTCTATAGCAGTTAGAGTAAAAGTCTAAAAATTTGGTAAAATTAATTGCCGCCAGAAGGTGCTGCAGGTAGCTCATTAATTCCTTCTCCAATAGGTTAATGACCGAGATAACAAAAATGAATATCCTCATCCTAATAATGTAAGGGTCTCCTAGACTTTTCTATGTTTAGGTCGTATGTTGTCTGTTAGTGAAATAGATGGCATTGTTGATCTTTAGATATATATATATATTCACTCTTGTTAATTTATTAGTCCTAGTATCTTGACGTCAACTGTACAAGTGTGCAATCTTGTTTCTTGTTGAAATAAATCTTTGAATCTTTGAATCCAAATGATTTTTTTTAGGCAGGGATTCAATTTTCAAATTTATGTCATATCTGTGAATATGTTGTCTAGATGCCAGTATTTTTTTGTGGCCATAAACATTAGGGAACAAATGTTTCAACAACTTCTCTTGTTGTTCTGTTTTGACAGTTTATACTGCTCTTACGCAATTCGTACATATACAAAACAGTGATAAGGCTAGAGGTTTTTATTTACATTAACTTAGGTGTATTGTAAAATTGTGTGATAATATTTTTGTGGTTGCATGAATTGCCTGTGGTTTTCTTATTTATTTACCCCCCATAAGTTTTAAACACGCAATGTTTTGCTATCCTTTAAAAAATTTGATACAATGGAAAAAATCTACTTAACAGCCTCTACTGAAAAACAAACATCAAACAAAACAGATAAGTTAAGATTAGTGTGTTTAAATATCTTGCATAGGCCTAAGTAATATTTTAGATGCTTAGGCTCTATAATGTATCCACTTACTCAAAAGTCCAACCATAATCATGAGTCACTCTATCTTTTATCACCACCTCAGCCCCGGGAACTGAACAGATCGGGATGTTCCAACAATCTCTGACTCTTCTAAATACGTAACGAAGGTAAAACTTCTCAAAATTATCATACAAAGGCACATATCCCTGAAAATCACACAATCTTTAGATTTTCTTAATTGTTATAGACGGGGATGAAACAAGAAAAAAAATTAATCCAATATAAATAAAAGAGGAATAGGTAAAATGGCAACTGCCGTATTGTGTGAATTAAAACACTGTAATTAAAAAAAATGCTCTTGTAACAGAACATTTTAATGGAATCAACTAACTTAATCTACTAAAATAAATTTCAAATAGATTTATAAATAGGTATGCCTACCCATAATTTAACTTATCAGTTAAATACCTCAGAGACACATCAATAATGTTGATCGGTTGGAGGTAGTTTTTATCAGATAGGCCACATTTGTTTTGTTTACTTTTTGTATTGTTTGTCCTGCTTTTTAACAAGATAAGAAGAACTTCTGTGCCGTTAGGTGTTTAGAAAACATAAGTAGGTAATATTAAATAAGTTAATTCTTTAATTCCAATATTAAATAAGTTAACTCTTTAACTCCATTTTTTTCTATAACTTCTTATGATGCATGTAAAAGAAACAACTTCGGTCAGGATTAATTCATTCAAGATATTTTAAAAATTGAAATAAAACGAAATTGAGGGCGGCGTAGGCCTACAGAAAAAATATAAAGATAATCACACATATAAAAAATAATTTCACTATAATCAGCCTGCTGTTAAGCGTTTTTATAAAAAGATCCTTAGGCGTACAGGTATATAAAAAGTCCTTGTTTTTAAAATAGGTATGTTGAATATAAAACAAACAACATATTATTCATATCCTCTTATAACATAATAAGTTTATACAGACTGTCCCAAAAGTCCCGGACCGGTTTAATATTTTATAAACGACAACAGATAAATCAATAAGATTTTGCACATCAACACCACACTCGTCGTTTGGAAAATATTAAGCCGGTCCGGGACTTTTGGGACAGTCTGTATATATAATAATATAATATATAATCAAACTAATATAGGCCTAATATAATATAATAAGTTCCATGACAGAATCAAATTAAAAACTACAAAATTCTTATGTAAAATCTTTAAAAAATTCAGTTTGTTAAACAAACAAGACGTCTTTACAACTAAGTAAAATTATGATGCATCTTATCAAAGCAATAATGAATACCGGTATTTTACCTCTCTGTTTTTCTCTTTAGCAACTTTTGGTGTAAAAAACAGTTCATTCAAGTATCCCAAAAATATTAACATATAAAATCCTATGTAGGTCATAACGGCAGTGTAAAGTGGTACTTCTTCAAACGACTCCCGCGACAGACGATTGATGTGATCTTGCGCATGGTCCTGTAAAACGATAAAAAAGATTATTTATTAGATTGAAACTGATTATTACGGTAACTTAAAAAAAATAATGAGACTCAGTAACATTTCCTGATTATATTCTCTTCACCATTGACCAGCCAGGGCTAAATATGTTTTAACCATTAAAACTATTTACATTAGGGTACAAGGTACAACAATATTTAAATATAGATCTGTTCTTATACTGCCTATATGGGTGCCCTCTATGAGAAAGTAGATGTCAACCACACACTATAAAGTGAGCTTTTCAGACCTAATGTAGCAAGCTAAAAATCCCCCTCTTGACGCCAACCAGTACAACACGTACTTTACTTTATTAGCATTGTTAAATTATTTCTACGATATGTTCTGTTTTAGGCGTGTTTAAATTAGGTGCCCCAACCAAAGTCTCTGGTTAGGAACATAAAAGTGGATTTAACGACGTATCTAGAAAACGGATTAACGTTTAACACTATGAGTTTTTGAAAATAAAAAAAAAAACTAAGATTTATTTGAACATGTTTAGCCTCTGGATCACGTAATTTACTAATAAAAGGTTAAATACCTGTAGTACTGTCTGTGATCCTGGAATTTAGGTCAGCGACCCAGGTTTCGAACCTAAAGGTTCATTTTCAAGCAGGTAACGACTCTCCACAGTTATGAAGAGGACATGTGTTTTTAACTCTGGCACCTGCTTGAAAATGAACCTTTAGGTTCGAAACCTGGGTCGCTGACCTAAATTCCAGGATCACAGACAGTACTACAGGTATTTAACCTTTTATAAGATTTATTTGGCCAGGTGGTGCTCAGTTTTTAGCTTTAAAATAGCTGCAACATCTATTCAGGTAGCATTATTGTAGGGAGGGAAGCCACTTCTTTTGTCTATTATTATGCACATAAGAATCTAACCTGGATCCTCGGAGCTCTCGTCCCTACAAATTTCTGTCACAGTTTTAAAAGATTGGGCAAATGGGTTGGCGTTGTGACCCTATTTCCCGCATATTTTTTCATTGCATTTTCTGTTTGAATTGTTTTACATGCACTGTTGGGTTCCAGTGCCAACGTCGTAGGCCTACTTATAGATCTGTGCATATTCAGGATCATGACCTTCTTGAGGAATTAGATTACCTACTCGGTGGTAAAATGTGTCATGGATCTTGAAATTTTAGATCCCCTGTGTGACCCTCTCGTCAAAATGAGCTTCAGAGCTGACCATGGCAAAGGCGGAATTGAATTGACGAATTATATCCAGATAACTTCTGGATCCAAACCTCACAGCCCTGTTTTCAGATTGGGAGTTTCCAATAAGTTCCTGAAAGTATGGTGAATTCCGCAAATGAGGTAAACAAACCTTTCATTTATGGCAACAAAGAGTAAAAATTGAACTGTCACGGCCAGTCTTTTCTTGCTTAAAATGTAAGCCACCACAATGTAAAATTGTAACGTTCATTTGTCCAAGATTGGATGTATCACCACAGCGGTACTGCCACTGTATCTGTCAAATTGGGTGGTTGATGCAAGCGATCACGTTTGCGTTCCCTCCAGCCACTTACAGTTAGGCTAGTTCTTCATGTTACTGGTGGCATTTAATTTTAAATTTAGATAAAATACAAAAGTTGACCAATCAACAGAAAACACTACGGTACCAAGGAATTTTGATACACATTTAAATTACCGTACATGATAATATGGTAATCAGGGTTGGTACTAAATTTGGAAAACAAAATTCCCTGACTTTTCCAGGTTTTCCAGACTGATATTATACTTTTTCCAGGTATACCGCAAGTCAATATCACCCAATCAAAATCAAGATATATTAGAAAAAATGTAAATATTTAACTTATTTAATGACTCCCGAATACAATAGTTATTTGTGTAACTAGTGGTGAAAGTGGCACTTTGCTGCACACGAGAGCAATGTTTACGCACGAGCCGCAGGCGAGTACGGAATTATCTCGAGTGCAGCAAAGGCCTTTTTCACTCGTGTTACACATTATATTTTTCCTACAGTCACTATAAAACATAAATAATTAGTCTTTCAAACACTATACAACACGTTTTTAGGTTCAGCTAGCAACACAATTACACAAATGGTGCCCTGGAGAAAGTAGTACCCGTGGTCCGTATCACTCCGCTATTTTTCCTCGGCAAGAAATGTGCTCCGTCTTTTGAGAATATAGTTCCGTATGTTTTTGTAATTTGAAGTGGTTTCCGCGCCTAAAAAAAATGCTTTAAAGGTATTTTCTTGTTTATTAAGACCGTAGGAATGTTTTAAAAACGTTTAAAAGAAAAGTCCAGAAAGTTCAGAAATACCAAAACTATAAACACGAAATGACAGGTTAAATCGTAGTTATAATAGTCAATCAGCTGTTCATAGTATTATTATCTTTAAGTGTTGCCAACCTATTTCCAAGCGTACACGGATTACGTGCATAATAAAACCACGCTGTTTTGTGTTGTTTGGTTGGAATCCTGATGTGCGGCAAAGTATAAACCGTGCGGCAAAGTATAAACCGTACGGCAAAGTATAAATATGCAGCAATTAGCAGCTTTCTGTACTATAAACAGTACAGGGAAGCCAACTTTGTCGGGTAACTGTAGGAAAAACTTGTTTCAAACTATGTACATAAATGCCTCCTCCGTACCGATAAATAACTATCGATATAAAAATGTGCATCAGTGCTTATGTCGTTCTTTTTGCCATTAGTCATCACCTTGGTAAAAACATGTTTAGGTGCAGAATGTAGGCCTACCATATCTGTAAAAAAGTAGTCTTTCAGGAGAAATTCCAGAATTTTTTCATAATTCCCTGACTTTTCCAGGCCAAAAAAATTCCCTGACTTTTCCAGGTTTTCCCTGACCCTACCAACCCTGGTAATGTAACGGTCTGCACGGTGAATAATCACTTTCAACTTATAAATTCAACTATTACAAACAATTTGTTGTCAGTTCTTCCTAGCAAACTGTTTATTTATGAACCAGACTTAGTTTAAATAAAAACGAGCTGTTGGCCCGTCCAACGTACAAGAATCGAGTAGTCCATTAAAACTGTATACCTATAGTTAAATAAATTGTCTACTCCTAATTCAAGCTTGGTCTAAGCAGTTCAAAATTTATTGTAAAGAAAAGCTTCCAAGATGAATTAAAACATAGGTGATTGTTGTTATTTTCCCAACCTTTCTTCAAAAAGTTGAGTAGTAAAATAATTTTCATAAGCTTTCTTTTGATGACTCGTGAGCTTCGATTCGTATACAGCAATGGTTATAGAATCTTACTTATTTCCTATAATCAATGACAAAACCCAAAACTACAGAGTAAATAAACTAACCTCATAGTTCTATATGATATTTTTATACTCAACCAAGCTGTTAGTCAACACAAAATTATATTGCACTATAGTCAACACAAAATTATATTGCACTAGGCCTAATACAAACTAAAGATTTTAAAGACTGCTCAAAAAAATAAATTAGAACATCTAGTATTTTACTATGTATAGTCGAATAATCTGCCATCCTCTAAATGAAAAAATTAACTTATTAATGATTAAAACATTAAACATAGTTATAGATAATTCAACCCTACGTACATGTTATTTCATTTTCATCCAGATGCTGAATTTGTGTTGAAAACGCTGAATGTTTACAGCTGTTACGTTAAGCAAATGGTAATATACCAAAAGCTAGAGTAGAATGTTAGCGTCGGCTGCTAGACTTTTTAAAATATGAACTTATTTTTTTTAAACTGAATCCCTAAACTTTATGGCTTTGACATTCCCTAGTTCTCAAAACTATGTTCCTTTCAACACAAAAATCATGAAAATCTGTCAAGTGGTTGATTCAGAATCGTGAAATAAAAAAAAACCCTGCTACGTTTAAATATTACATCTAGATATGATATAAAATTACGGCTTTGCTCTGGAAGTAATAGGCCTAAGTCCTGCAGTTTGTGGTTAAACTTCAAAAACTATTTCAAACTACGTCCATATGATTAGTTGTAAACAAAGGGAATTGAGGTTGATGGTTTGATCTAATGTCATGTCAACAGATAGCGCCGCCCTTCCCAAACTTTAGCCCTTAACTGTACTTAAAGTGATGCCCTTTCTTAGCCTAATATTCTGAGACGTATTTGCACATTTACATGAAAATACCTTTAATTTGACACCTCAAACGTTAAAATCCATCTAGCCGTTATCAAGTTATGACTGTGAAAAGAAAACTGGTTTATTGATATAGCCTATAGATTTAATCTGATAATACATCGCAGGTCCTCTGTGGAACTGTACCCGAAGGTAGGTAACTGATAAGTGACGAATAGGCTACTTCTCGATAACCAAATGAAATAGCTTAAAATCATCTCCCAGCGGATGGACTTAGGGTTGGGGGATAACAATGGAACTAAAATCCTAGGGAAACTCCTTCTGTAACCAATCTAACTCTAATAAAAGGATACTTTTAAACATCTGCAGGATTTTATTCTGATGTAACTTACAAGGAAGAGAAAAAGGTAGCATACTTTGGTATTATCCGGATGCCACCCTTATACAGCACGCTGTGGCGGTTATGTTAGGTTGGGTTATTATATATATGCTTGTAGGACTGTTCTCGTTTCATTATGAATCAAACAATACCAGATGATTCTACTTTCGCTCGCCAAATCCCCTCCGAGTAGCCTAGGTATGCCAAAGTGAGGTCGTTGACCAGAGTGCGCATCACGTCTGTCAACGTTTGTATCTGGTGTGGCAGCTAGAGGTGGCGTTGCATTCAACTCAATCCTCACCGACATCACTGTCTTCTGGGAGGCAGAACTCAAAGGCTACTAATTAATTGTAATCATGTCAAATTGGAACAGTAGGGCCTAAGTCAATTAAAGAATGTTCTTTCTATTTATGATCTGCCGCAGGCCGCAGCACGCTGTATAAGGGTGGCCTACGGAATACCAAAGTACCATTCATTTCATTTCATTTGTTTGTCGAAGGAGCCAAAACCCCCTGACGGCTGCCCGGTACCTATAACTATAGCCCTACCAATATGCCAAACTAAATAAGTTTGGTACTTTGGTATACTATATACCAAAGTACCGAGAAATAACTTTTAAGGCAACTTAGGTTTACCCTCCAATAACTTATATGCGCCGCGGACTGTGATTCCGCACATTTGAAAAAGCGTGCCGAAATAAGTGAATCTGCGAGCTAATGGCATGACGTGCCATCTACCTTAACCCACTAAGTTTACCTTTCCAAAGACAATGGCGGTGTTTTGACCGTCTTAGCATCAGTTGGCCCTGAGCTACGAGGGTGTAAAGTTAGGCGTGTCATGTTTCAAGAGAGTGAAGAACAGGCCAGCGATTGACTGATTGGTTTACAACAGGACATTTTCAATTTGAAATATTTGTAATTATTTTGAAATTTTAATGATAGGAAACCTACCTTATATGAATTTTACTAAGCATTTAACATACGGTATAAGAGCGTTTCCAGTAAGAAGGAATGCTGGTCCGCGCGTGTGTACTGGTGTTACTATTAGCCGGGCGTGTAAGTTACTGGAGGGTTAACTTACTTCTTTCTGACTCATTGAAAGATTCAACTTAACAACCCGTTTCAGGCCATAGGCTAGCCTAACTTATCTTAGCCTATCACCAACACTTTGTAATTGAGATGGAATGTTAATAATTTCTTGTGAGTTAGGCCTTAGGCCTAGTTTTATTTGGATGAAAACACCTAAAAACTTTTAAGCAAACAAGACTTAAGTTAACTTACTTTTAGACTTGTCTAAAGAGAATCGATTATTTTTAAACTAGGCTACCGGTAGTTCATCGGCCACATAAGGAACCCTAGTTTATGTAGATATAGGCATATTTGTTTATGTAAATGTTGCGTTGTTGAGGCTTCAAATTAGGTCTAGGTTACACCCGCTTCTAAAGTAATGTAGGATTTAAGCATAACTTAGGTTGTTTATACACTGGTAATATTGCTAACAAAACAGTCTTTCGTAAGATATTTAACTTAAAAATAATCATACCGTTTTGCTGGAAATACACTCTTCCTTCGAATGACCATTCTTCTTCCCGTTTCTTGGAGGAAATAAACCATTTTCCTTTATATTTCTCTTCTTTACCACTCCACTGACACCGTTCAAAGCCATGTTGTTCTGCTCGAGCGAGTAAGGACAAGACTTCAAAACTTCTCACTGCAGCGCAGCAATCGGCAAAAAACGAAGATTGGAGTGTGCTTTTCTCTCACTAGAACGTCAAGTTAATGTTTAAAGTGTTATTTAAAATAAAAATATATGTACAAATTAGTTTTAAAATAAAAAGCATAGCAGGTTGAATGTAAGTAACATTTTTTGATTCCATTGTGCAAAATTAAGTCATTCTTGATGTTTATACTTGGAACGTCCATAATTTAAAACCATATTTTTGACTAACTATGAGTCGAGTCATATGTTCTCCCCTCTCCCTTTCCTAAAACCTCATTGCATTCGTACATTCGCATTCGCTACAGCAGACAAGCGAAACGAACGAAACGTCAAATTCATACTCGAGCTGTAGGGACGCGCGTTATCGGTTGCCGGTGTGAGGTTACAAATCTTTGTTGTTTCGTTTTCGGACTCCTCTCCTGTTTATCTGCAAGAAGAATAGGTTTCGTCAAAGAAACATGGATCTTACCTACATGCCAGGTGAATTAGATATGAAAAGTGCTAAGAAAAGTAACACAGATATGAAAAGGGATCATGATTCTGTTGATGATTTTGAACATTTGGATCCTGATTTATCTCCTAGTGAAGGACACGTAAAGACAAGTATTGATACTAACACAGATAAAAAAGATAGTAATATGCCTGTTGACATTCTTGAAAAAGCTCATGGTGTCGATTCTGGGTTAGGGCTCCCTTCCAAATCAGCAGAATTTGATTCGGGCAAAACAACCCCTGATCTGTCTAATGTCGAGGATTCTAAGCAAATAAAAACAGAGGTAGATTTTCATTTTGATAGTGAAGGTAAACCAAGTTTACTTGACTTTGGAATTGACAATGAGAACCCTCTTTCCGATGGTGAACAGTTTGATGATGAGCTCAACAAAAGCTTTCTTTCTTCAGAAATTGCTTTCAACAATGTCAAGACAGGACATGACATTCCCAATTTAGATATCCTACCAGAATTAAGTACAGCGGAAAAAGATGATTTTCATCTTCCCGATTATCATACCACTCAAGCCAGTGACACCATTCTTCCTTCAGACCTAACCAATCCAAAATCTATGAAAGAAGATGATGCCCTACCACAGTATGATATGAAATTTGAACAAAGAGAAAGTCCAGAAAAGGGTGATTATATAACCAAAAGAGAACTTGAACTAAATGAACCAGACATTTTAAAACCAGAAATCCCACCACATGCAAAAATTGAACATTTTGCTCCCTCAGAACCAGAAATTGATTTGCGTAAGAATGTGTCAGAGTTTTCAAATGCTAATGATTTCGAGTCACACGAAGAATTAATAAAAACACTGGTCAAACATGTTGAAGAGCCTGCAGTACCCGAATCTACAATTATACCTACACCCCCTGAGTCAAAGGATAATGTGAAATCGGCTGTTAAGAAGATTTCTGTTTCTGACTTGGATGATATCATTGGACCTGAAGATGTTTTCAAGCGCATTGGTCTTGGTAAGTTTATATTCCACTGTATGAAAATCCTACTAACATAACTTATTAAGAAACATAGCTTAAGTCACAGCAAGTTAGGTTACTAGTGACTTAAATTTGTATAAGCCTATAAAATGTATATTTTTTCTTTAGATCAACCTTACGCTGGTCTGAACTCAAATCATGTAAGAATTTAAAAGTCGAACAGACTTAAATACCGGTATAAAGAATTCTGCCTCTTTTTTTCATCTTAATTCAACATCGAGGTCGCAAAATTTAGTATAGATATGAACTCCCCACTAAAATTACGCTGTTATGTAGGCCTACCTGTTGCCATATGTTGTGGACTGTTCAGAGTGTGCAGTATTTATACTGTGCAACATTGTAGTCCTATTTTCTAACCTTTTTTTTTGGTTAGGAATTTTTAATCTAATATTAGAGCCTAGTTTACTTTCTAGAGCAACGGTACTCTTAATTTTATCATCTTTCCTAACTGATCCAAAATAATGGTAGGCTAACTTATATTTATTATATTTACTCTGCACTAAATAATAAACGTTGACCTAAAAATTGAGCATTTAAAAAAACGTAGCCTCCCTAACTTATTTAGGCTAGGTTAGGAATTTTTAATCTAATATTAGAGCCTAGTTTACTTTCTAGAGCAACGGTACTCTTAATTTTATCATCTTTCCTAACTGATCCAAAATAATGGTAGGCTAACTTATATTTATTATATTTACTCTGCACTAAATAATAAACGTTGACCTAAAAATTGAGCATTTAAAAAAACGTAGCCTCCCTAACTTATTTAGGCTAGGTACTTAAAAGGAATGAAAATGGGCTAGCTCACGCCCCTTTAAAAGTAAAACTAGCTCAATGTAATTATGTAGATCAGTTCCTCGCAGAGGCGGCCTTAGGTAGTGAGGGGGCCTGTCTGCCTGTGCAAACATTTAGAGAAGAGCCTCTTGGCCCTTACTACTAAACCCCCCCCCCCCCTCCTCCCCAATCACCATACCGTAGTGTTGCTCTTGCTTATAGGATGATAATTTGTTGCGATTGCGGCAATAATCAAGATGAATTTTAGTGTCCCAGCAACTCCCATAAGTAGGGTAACATCTTGTTCAAGTTCAACGATTGCAATTGTTTAGGCCTACTTGAAATAGGAAGGGCAAAGAATATTGGGGACTACCTATATAAAAATTAAATTTGCCAAGACTTTTAATTTTTTTTTATATTTTTGCCCAAAGTGTGGGTCCCCCAAAGTGCGTGGCCCAGTGCAGATGCACTTTTCGCACATGCCTGTGTCCGGCTCTGGTCCCAGGCCGGCTTATTCCAAATATGGAACACTGAAACAATGAAATTTAATGAAAGTCTTAGTAGGTAGGTAGCTGATTGTACTCGCCTTTAATTTTGAATTTTACATAATTAATCCTGAAAACACTAAGTTTTAATTTTTAAGAATAGTGCTTTTGGGGGTTTTCTTTAGTCTATTAAAAAAATCTAGTATCTATAATTTCCTAAATTTTTGCCATGTTAACCCTTGTTTCTGGGTTTGGTAACTTGTAGGCTTATTGAACTTATGCAACATCTTAACAAATTCACTTCATATTGAATCCCATTAACACTTTAATTTAAATTAATTGCACTTCCCATATTGCATGGATAAATAGATCCAGATGTGGAATTAGGTTTCTAATTAGTCGAAACTGCTTGGTTAATTTAATTAAATGATGATCCAGCGGTGAGATCTAAAGCAAACACAGACTAGCGGAAGCTAACGAGGGTAGAAAAACGGAGTCAATTAGTTTGGGTCTGATGGTTGTTGCTGGTTGTTGAACCCATGTAGACATTATAAACATATGGTGTTTTAGACAAAGCCCCCTCTCTTTTTTAAACTCACTTTTTATAGCTGTGTATGATTGATTCAAATAGTTTTCTTTCCCAGAGACGCATAGCGTTTTCTCTCCTAGAAGAATTCCAGGGTGTATTTATTTTCTTAAATAGCAGCAAATTTCTAGCTATGGATAAAAGAGCCCTATAATATGTTTATGCTAGGCCTACTAGTAATCGAATCTCTAAATATCTAATTTATAAAAATAAATTTTGAAGATCGCTCCGCTTTGAAATGGAACTAACTTCCTTTACTATAGTCTTCAAAGCTTTTCTTTTCTATTCAACATTTTAAACCTTTTTGAATAAGAAAACTGCAGTAATTAGGTCAAAACTCACCTGGTTTAAATTGCTTATACGGTACAGTAAATGTTATATCTTTTGTTTTTACTGCTAGGACATCTTTACGCCTCATTTGTTTTCCATTAGTTAGCAAAAACTTTCTGATTCTCTTCAATTTTTTAAATTTAATTTGTCTAATCTTTTTTTTGAACTAGTTTTAATAAATTTCAAACGGTTTCAAATAGTGCCGTTAATAACAATACTACATCTATTCTAGGTACATCTATTCATAAAAAGGTGAGAAAGGAGAAGTAATTTTGACTCCTGTTCCCAAATTCATTGATGTAGAAGAAATTACATACCGTATTTTTATTTTAAGTAGACTTAGTCTCTCTCTTAGTTTAGCCTATTTATTTTAACGTTGAGTTAAATTTACTTGTCCAGACCGGTCATTACTTCAGATGTGGATTAGGTAGAAAGCGTGATACCGTGGCGGCGATGGTCATGCCTCATGGGTTCGGGCAACGACCCTTGCAAACCAGGATAAGATGCAGTTGCAGTTTACAATGCAACAGTAGTTTACTGGAGTAGTTGATGAAGCCTTATGCTATCTTTGCATAAAGCTTAATGCTTTTAAAAAGAATTAAAAATCCGGAAAACATGTGTCTGTGTGTTTCTAACTGCGCAGATAAAAAAAGTGTTTCTAGAAGTCTCTAAATACTCCTTTCTAAATGTGTTTTCTAAATGTGGACATCTCAATGAACTAATTAGGAGACAGTTGATGTGTTCTGTGACAGCCAGGACATCTGTCAAAGTTGCCTTGCTTAACAAATCTAAATACATGTGTGTATGCAGAAGAGCTTTTCTGCTAGTCCTACATTTAATGTTTCACATAATAATACTCTTGAATGCTTTAAGTCAAGAAAAACCAAATTGATAAATTGGGTACATAATTGGTAGGTAGCTAAATGCTCTTTGATACAAGTAAACAACATTTGTTTCTCGAATTACTTTATCCGCCTATCTTCAAGGAATATCCTAGAAAAGTGTGACTTTAGTAAAATTTTAAATTTTCCCACACATTATTCTTATGGAAATGATTGTGTGTTAATATAGGTCCTCTATAGGAAAATAATTTTTCACTGATACATTTCAGTACCGGTACGTTACCTAGTTAAATTCTTTAGATTTTTTTTTAACAACCAAATCCCATATTACTACAGTACAAATTTCTAAAATTTAAAATGTTCTTTTAATAATGTCTTCTCTTAGTAAAACTGCACAAGATTCAATTTTGATCAGGCATGGGTTGCACCATTTGTAACTTATAATTAAATTATTTGATTAAGTATAGTTAATTAAGTGAAGCCTTGTTACCTCAGTAAAAATTAGATCTTTGAGGTCGAAATTTATAATAAATACCTCCCAGGATTCTAAATCAATTTCTCTGAGTAAACCTTTGTAGGTATTTTAACTTGAGTTTTAATTAACTTACCGATTCAAAAATACATAGGGGTTTGAATGGCAAAATATAGTTTTTGCTAATATGCAATCCTTGATGAGTTTAATCACTTTCCTATGGGCTCATTTTTTCCACTAATGGATACAACGGCATTTAAAAGTCCTGCCAATTTTAAACAAATACAATCACAATTCATTATTATTGCTTTACACTTAGAAAGCATTTTGCAAGAATAGTAGGCCTACTAAAAAAGGAAACCTTAATGCCAATCATAAGATAAAGTTCTATAACAAATAATTGTTGTTTATGCTGAAAGTTATATTGAGTTTCCAAACTGCTATCAGTTAATCTAAATAAAGACAATAGACAATTAATCTTTATTTACACATTCATTAGGAATAGTAGTAGCGTCAATTAAAAATTTTTTCTAAATATGTGGTTGAGGTGTTGTTTAGTCAAAGATCTGTTGATAGTATTCTTTTAAAGAGTAAAAAGGTCGATTAATGAGCCATTGATGCAAAGCTGATTTGAGGTCATCTTCTGTCTTGCTTCTTAAGGCCTGTTCACACCGGCGTAGCTAGACGTCTGCAGACGTATTCGGTGTATTAATACGTCGCCAGTGCACTGTTCACACCGCAGCTACGTCTGACGGCTGCGTAGCCGGTGAGCCGGCTGTCGTTTGTTTATATTATTATAATATTTTATATTTGTTTATTTATTGTTTATTTTATTAGGGTTTCATGAATTTCAGTTAAGATTGCCACGGTTCACTTGCAGCTTTTATAGTACTGTACCCTGAAAAGTCTGTTGATTAATGTGTTAATGTTGACAAAAATATTTCACTCTAATTTTTAAGCCGTATATAGTAGACTATAAGATTTGCGCTATGCTATATTATAATATAAAAAAACAATTACCAGAGAACATGCAATAATTTTGCTCATCCATAAGGATTACATAATAAAATAGTCTATGGTGTAAGTAAAAACACGTAGTAGGCCTATGTATAGAAATAATTCATTAATGTTTTATAAATGTCAGCCCACTATATGAACCACAATAAACCATATTAAGAGAGAGACATTGTTTTTGAAAAGGAGATTTGCAAGCATAAACAAAAAAATTTAGTGGACACTAGGTACTCGTATGATGAAGTATTATTATATTGATCATATAAAGTTGTCTTAAGATTGTTATGTTATATATAGTCTAATTTGAATGTGATAGATTAACACGATTTAATGATTTTAATTATAGTGAATTTTTGTGTTTTAGTCCAACATTTACCACTTATAAATTAATTATGAGGTGGTGGGAGGGTGGCGGTGACAGCCCGGTGTGCTTGTGCGCATGCGCGTATTCGGCGTAGCTAGCCGGCGTAGCGGCA